CTCCCCCAAGCCCCTTCCCCCACCACAGACATACCAGCCTGACGCTGTTCTCCAAGCTGCCAGCTGATACTGATCCAATTGCCGATATGCAGCCTGATACAGCTCATTAATAAATCATCCATCAGTACTGGCCCAGGAAATCTTTAATAAGTGCACCCCTAGCTCTAATAGACGAGCTCCATCTGAGTATCTGGGATACTGGCCTTCTGGAATTGAGGCCAGCATCATTAATATGAAAAACGAAACTAAACTAAGAAATGAGCATAAAAGATTAGAAAAGATGTTATCTCTGTTGTTAGCACGTAGGAAGAAAAAAATTAAGTAATCCAGGATACTGGAATTGATAAAGGAATATCAGAAGGCTGGATGTAGAGCAAGAAGCAGCAAAAGATATTAATATTTATAAGAACAGTAGTCAGAAAGACAATAGTGTTTAAGAAGTGCCTACACCTAATCCAGGAAATAGACAGTGGCCAGTAAGAAACAACCAAAATGTTTGCCTACTAATCTAGGAGTGGGGAAAACAAAGGAGAGGAACTAGAATTACAGGTGCAGAACACAAAACTTGAAGTTATAGAGACAATAGAAATGTGATAGAATGACAATCACAACCTGGAATGCAGAAATGGAAGGGAATGATCCATTCAGGAAAGGTGGTGGTGGTGGGACAACACTGTACACTAATTAAATGATACACTGTAAATAAATCACGATACAGAGCATAGATAAAACTAAATCTCTTTAGGTCAGAGACATTTTGGGGAAAAAAGGAAAAATGGTAACAGACTTTCAATTGAGGCAGCACTGGAAGTCTCTACAGAGACTTCCAAGGTCTGCTTCCAAGGTCAGAGTGAGATATGCAGAGTGATCTCCAACATTATTTGAGGCAGGCAAAGTATTATCAGGAATTGTGTCATGAGTGATTAACTTCCCTGATATAGATGCTATTATGTTACTAATGCTACTAACGCAAGCCAATGCTACTAATAACAGTAAAGCTCAAACATTTCTGGTTGAGATACCTGATAGATTCCTTCACCAAATAGTTATTGAACCAACAAGACAATGTTGTTTTAAATTTGTAACTGGTCATATAAAATAACCCTGAATGAAGTAATCGCAAGTTATTTATCTTTTCATTTAATTTAAAAGTGACTCAAAAGCAGGTCTATATGGTTATCAATTTCAAAAGGACAGATTTTAAAAGCTAAGGAAACAAGCTTGTGAAGTTGACCAGACTGGAGATCGGTGACTGGAATGTGGAATAGATGTAAAGACTTTGATTTTAATTAAGTCAAAAGTGGGGAGGGGGAAGGGAGGAGGGGCAAAAAAACAAAACAAAAAAACCCAACTGAAAACTATCTGAAAACTGTATCCCAAGCTTAGAGAAATAAATTAAAGACCTAACTGGATGAATAACCACTTCAAAAAGGCATACCAGAATTAAGGAGATAGTCTATGAGGAATGGAAAGAAGGACTGATTCAGCAAAGAAAGTCTTCCAGGTCAGTAAGTGTAGGTATTAAACAAGAATTGGCAAAAGTCAAACTAAGTTCCCTGCAAAGAAATTGAAAACAAGTAGTTTGAGAGATTTTTAAAGTTTTAGAACAAAGTTTCTTTAGTCACATAAAAAAGAACAGAGGGAAAAAAATCTTGTGGCTACCAGAGATTAAAAGGACTGAAACTCTGGGTTCCTCCCATCACCCAACTTCAGGTGAGTGCTCTCAATGCCAAGCTATATTTGCATATGTGTAGCCCAACCCAAGCTTCAGTTGTAAAATCTGAGCAGATAAGATTTTGCACTGTCAAAAATAGCCTGTAACTTGGTTAGCTGCATTAACTTGAAGTCAGGCAGAGGGTAGGATAGAGTGGCACCTAGTCTCTGAACCAGTTAGGTTTAAGGTGCCACCCTGCCCTACCCTTCTGTGTGCCCCCTGTATCTGTCAGTACAGATTTCCTCCAATCTTTTCAGAATATTTACAAAACATTAAGGCTAAAATCAAACCACATTTATCATTTTAATTATTAAAATTCTTCTCCAAAAGTGAAATTCAGCCCACATTTAAAATATGCTTTCATTTGCTGGAATGAAAAGGAAAACAAGGTACTAGCCCAGCTTCAGACATGAACTATAATGAAAGGTAATGAGCAGAGTATGGCATGTCAGAAATACAAGACACAGCTCTGAAACCCTGAATCGTGGGATATGGCTAAAATTTTCCATGTGTGAAATCTAACTATCGGGGGGGGG